CCAAACCAAGTGGAGCAGGATGGAGCCCACGCCCAGTGCCCCCTTGACTACTACCGGCTTGGGGACTGGCCCCTTGTACCTGCTTCTGTTTACTTGCAAGGATAAAGAGAAGTCACTCGGGTGAGCACCAGTCTTGACATCGGGCAGGAGATAGGGAAATGGGGAGACAAATTGCTTCCAAGCCACAGTCTAAATCGATTTTAAATGATTTATCTCCTGGCCTTCCTTAATGTAAGCCAAACACTTTCAGTTGTTTCATGATTGTACTTGGAATTGCATTTTAACCATATTTTCCTAAGAACTAACATTAAGCAACATTGCTTGAGAGGCATCAGGGATTTTCTCCCCTTTCTCCACATTACAGTTAAGTCATTATGTAAAGAGTTGTTAGAATTTGGGAAACTTCTCGCTCATGCTCAGGTTTTACTGACAACGAGCGGCAAGCTGCCTCCTTAGGCCGTGAATCTTTCTTGCTCATGACAAGAACTGGTTGTGTTCTCGTCTGGAATGTCCTCCTTCCCTTTCCCGTGATGGTCCCCTTCTATCCCAGCCATCCCTCAAGGGCCATCCGCAAACTCCAGTGCTGAGCAGAGACAGCTCTGATCACCCACCTAGACAACTCGGCTCCCACCGTCTGTGCCACTCACACTGCATGTATTTTCTGCCTCTTTTGGGAGTGATTTGTGCCCATGCCTGACTACAATTTAAGACTGGTAGCTTCTGGCAGCCACAGACTGTTACTCATTTCCCTTAGTGCTTATCCACCATGGTCTCCTGCTTCTTAGAAGTGCTGAAAACGTGTTAACTGAATGACTGAATGTATGAACAAATGCATTCGCTTCTCTCCTAAGTAACTAGTAGTGCAGCTAGTAGTCTCTCTCTTGTCTTTGAGATTCTCCCATGTTCAAAAAATATATATTTTACTTCCACTGAGGAAAGTGCATTTATTTTGTGAATACAATTTTGACAGAACCAAAGTATGGGCTAATAATGTTGTAAATTTTCATCATATAGTGCTCATTTCTTATTTAAAAGAGTGTGTGACACACCAATTAAAAATGAAAAGGTTATAGCATAGTAGGCACTCAATAAATAAGTCTTAAGTGAATGAATGGAGTGGTAATAGGAAATTCGATAAAAATAGAAATGGTAGGAGTAGAAAAAGGGTAGATGCACAGGAGGTTTAGAACAGAAGTAGAGAGAGGGAGGGAAGAGGGAAAGGAGACCAAGGCTAATTAAATTCAAAATCAGAAATTCTGGTTTTACTACAAACTTTAACTTGATAATTTAACAAGTAGAGAGGCAAGGAAGTTGGCTGAGAAGAGAACAGACTTTAGAGACAGACATCTGGATTCTGACATTCATTCAGCCACTGTGTGACCTTGGACAAGTGACTCAACCTCTCTGAGCTTCACTATTTTTTTAAACCTTTTAATTCTGAAGTAATTTTAGATTTACAGAAAAGTTATTAAAATACAGAGAGTTCCCATACATAGCTCACCCAGCTTCTCCCAGTGTTAGCATTTTTCATAAATATAGTCCCTTTATCAAAACCAGGAAATTAACATTGATACATTCACACTGATCAAACTACATGCCTGATTAGAATTTCACCAGTTTCCCCACCAGTATCTTTCTTCTAGTCCAGGATCTAATAGGATCCCAAACTGCATTTAGTCGTCATGACTCCTGGTCTCCTCTAATTTTTGACGATTCCTCTGTCCTTCCTTACCTTTCATGACCCTGCCACTTTTGAAGAGTACAATGTCTTTCAGTTTGGGGTTGCCTGATGGTTTTTTTTTCTTATGATTAGAGTTAGGTTATTTTTTTTAGGGGGGGCAAATACGTCATAGAGACTATATCTAGTCCTGCTGAGTGCATCACATCAGGAGATGTGACCAGTAATAAGACATCAATATGTCTTATTACTGGTCATGTTGACCTTGAGCATTTACTTAAGTTAAGGTGGGTATCTACTGGGGTTCTCCACTGTTCTATTTTTCCTTTTATAACTAATACATATTTTGTGAATAGATACTTTGAGACTATGCAAATATCTTGTTTCTCATATTTTGTTCAATAATTTTAGCATTCATTAGTGGTTCTCGCCTGTAACAATTTATTGCTGGGGTGTCCTAATGGTGATTTCTCATTTCCCTCATCCCTTCTACATTTATTAATTGGAAATCTTTTATAAGTAAGAGCTGTACCTCTCCCTCTCCTCCCATTGATTTATTTATTCACTTATTTATTTATATCAGTATGGACTCATGAATATTTACTTTATTCTATGGACCACAGTCCAATACTATCATTATTTATTTTGTTGTTTAAGCTTCACTTTCTTCACCTGTGAGTCAGAGATAATAACTGCCTTACACAACTGTCATAAGGATTAGTGGGATTAAAATATGTGACACTGACAGATAAGCAACAAGGATCTATTGCATAGCACAGGGAACTCTACTCAATATTCTGGGATAACCTATATGAGAAAAGAATCTTAAAAAGAATGAATATATGTATATGTATAACTGAATCACTTTGCTGTACACCTGAAACTAACACAACATTGTAAATCAACTATACTCCAATAAAATTAAAAGAAAAAAGAAGTGACAATGTCCAGTCCAGTCCTAAGTGCTAGCTCCTTTTCTTCTTTTTCTTTACAGAAAGTAAAGCCACGCTAATTTGGAGGCAAGACCATTCTAAATAGGTGAAATCTGAATTTAAGAATTCTCTTTCAATGGAATGAAGCCTTTTTACCTGAAATGATATAAAACAACTAGAATTTAGCTCTCCCAGTTTTGCCTAGCGTAGGTCATTTGGGATCTGCCTGTAATGACTACATTAGACTGATTTTTTAATTGGCATACGCATAATATGTATGAAAATAGATGCTTGAGAATACTTGAATACAGACTCTTCTTTTAAGTAGTTTAGGTATTTTCCCAGAAATCTTGTTTACGTTTTGAAGTTGCTTAGCTTAACTATTTTCAGAGATAGTCCCAAGCATGCCTTAACCCAGATGTGGTTCACATCGTCACTGATTCTGAATTAGTGAAATCACTGTTTCATCTTTGATTCCCAAAGTTATGGTACTAAATGGAAGAGATCCAAGTTTTCCCTCTCCAAAACTAACTTAAAACTAGCTTTTTAAAATTCAGGTAAATCACTTTTAACTTCAGGTGGAATTTAAAACAACAACAATAGCGACAAAAGACAAGGGTAGGGTCCTAAGGATGTCTGAGTGAGTCGATCAGGAAGTTTAAAATAATTCATGATATACAGTAAGATCCACTAATAAAATCACCCAGTTTACTGGAACTTTCATTTTCCACTCTGTTTTTATCAGCAAGGAAAATCAAGAACATCAGATTTATTTTAAAAGGCAACTATGGGGGCCGTGTGGTTTACAAGCATTCATTTGGACTCCCAGAGAGTCTGTCTTACTCAGTTTGGAGTGGACCAGGAATCTGCAATTTAGCAGGTGTCACCCTCAGTATGAGCCTGATACAGGCGAGAGGCAGGATATTGTTGTGGTTCAAAGCCCAGGCTCTGAGACCTGACTCTTTGGGCTTGAGTCTCACTGCTGCCACCTACCACCTGTGTGACCTTGGGAGAAGAGCTTCATCTCCTCATGTCTCAGTTTTCCCATTGCTAAAACGGGGTCAGTGATAAGGATCTGTCTCTCAGGGTTGTTGTGAGGAACAAATAAGTGGCACATATTAAATAATTAGTATGACAGTGCCACATGGATATTAGCAATTCCTATGGATAATGGATCTCCCTTTGAGGAATGATGCTCAAGGCATGTCTGGATACAGAATTGCTCGAGCTCAGCCTCTAACACTTTCCATCCACTGGGCTTTATCACTGTTGTGATACAACCATCACCAGGGTCATGACTGGAAGGCTATGGAGGCTGCAAGGTGAACTGCTATAGTTGGAAAGTGTTTAAGTAACAAAGGCTGATTGATCCTCTGTCAATCAGAGATATATACGAACTAGGATGGGAGCATCCTCTTAGCATTTAGGTAGTTTACTAAATGACTAAAGTAGGAAACTACTGTATTTGTGGAATTCAACCAACCAACAACCACCAAACACACAGACTGAAATTTTGTGTTTTAATATTCAAGACAAAGAAATGAAGTCTAGAAGAAATAAAATATAGAACAGAAAGGTCTGGGTGTGGGGTTATGCTATGGAATGAAAGTGTTCTCTAAGCCTGAGAGAGGAGCATCCTGTGACCCTAGCACAGCATGGCGACCTCCTCTCCATCCTGTCCTTTATCCTTGGTCCAGGGCCACAGGGTGGCCAGCCATTGGCTCTTTTCTTCCCAGTGAGTGCCTAGAGCTCTTACACTGCCTCCTTCCTAGGTGTTTCCAGACTCTGGTCAAACCTGTCCTCTTTAGAACTTGCTTCTGGCAAGGCCTTGGAGGCCACGGAGGGACTTTCTGGGGCTGAGGAGCTTGATGGGATGCGGAGATCAGGAATGAGGTGATTCATTGCCCCTCACGACCATGCTCCTCCCAGCTCTCCTTACCCAGGTATATTAGTGTTTAATTTCTGCTGAGGAGGTCTGATAGTGTAAGACAGAGTGGGCCAGATAGATCCCATGATCCCTTGGCCAAACCCAAAACTGAGACATCTGGTCTTAAAAGCACTTGTAGGAACAGGGGGAGAATCTTTGAAAATGGGCCCAGGGAGAATATTTTGGCAAGGGCATAGAGAAAATGGGGCGGGGGGATACTGGTTGTCCAAAGGGAGAAGGCTTGTGGACATGGTAATGGTATGGGATGGAGATGGTCTCAATTAGGCTGAAGGGTGGAGTGAAGTGAAAGGAGGATGACAGTGTGTCTATCTCACTGCCTGGAAAAGAGACAGTCATCATGGAAGTGGGCAGACAAACAGGTAGATGAGATATCAGTAACAAACAAACCTAAAAGGAGAAATGCTTAAAAATCATTACAAAACATCTCAGAGTGGCTTCTTACCTCATTAAATCTCATCACAAGATCTTCAAGGGCATTATGCTCTCCGTTCTGGGAGGTAAGAATGGATGCTGAGATGGACGCTTTGAGGCAGGGCAGGGACCTCTGGCATTCCGTAGTGCCCAAGTCCCGGGTCAAGAAGCAAAGATAGTCAACCGGCAAGACCCTTCGGTAAATATTCTGTTCCTGCTCCATCAGGATGCTGGCAACTTCCTCTGGGAACTGGATGAGGGGCTGCAGATCAATCAGTTCCTTGCTGATTCCAGCTGAACTTGAAGGGAGGGCACTGGAATTGGCCATAGAGGTGCCTGGTTGGCGTTCTGAAATAAAGCAACAAAAGTCACTGTTACACCAAGGCTGGTATCCCCTACGACAGGTATTTACTTGAGAGCCATTCAAAATTTTATAGGTTTCTCAACTGAAGTTTCTGCTTGGTGAATAGTTCTATACTATCTGAGACCTTTCTGATATCTCTCCTGCCTGCCCCCTCCCACTCCTTGGGGGTAGGGGAAGGCTTAGTTTCCTATTTTCAGAAGCAGAACTGATCTAGCACACCATTCCCTAACCAGTTCACTGTGACACTGCAGAGTAGCAGTGAAGTAAAATGTACCATTTGCTTCCTCATCCTCCGGGACTAACCATCACCATGAAAAGAAATGCAGGTGGGCATGGGCACAGCGAATGAAATCAAAGAGGGAAGAAGGCAGTAGGGGGAGGAGGCCTGTACACATACAGGCATATGCACCCTATGTCTGAACACGCAGGAGACCCAGGAACCCTCTGCACACCAGGCTTCAAAGCTTCACGGTCTGCTCTGCCAACATTCAGCCCTCAAAGACTCTGATTCCACTGAGATTTACCTGGAGGTGTGCAGGGACAGAACCACCTATACAAGTAAGGAAGAAATAGGTAATGAGGAGATGTATCTAAATAAACAAAATAAATAAATCTCATTCCCTGCTCCACAACTGGTAATAAGAAGTTGGTAGCGAGAGGGAAATTAATGAGTGCATTAGATAGAAGTACCAAAGACATTCATTCAGAGGCTCAAAATTATTCCCTTAGCACAAATTCACTTTGCCTCAGTGGATATCTCCACCTTCAGTCCCTTTCTTCCCACTGACTCTTCTTTGCCTACACAGATATTAGTTTTCCTCATCCTTAAATACAAACCAGTAAAACTTCCCTTATCCCTTAAACTCCAACTAGCCTTACCCTTCATTACGTACCTTCCCTAAAGGGGAGTCTACTTTCCCTGATTCCTTCCTCTGTGAGTATGGCGACCATATCTTCTGATCCAAAAATCGGGCCACGCAGTCTGTTCAAATTAATTAACCAATAAGGATGTGGATGGAACAGAAAAATGGAAACCAGGTCTGTCCTGGGAGCTCCTGGTTCTTAGATCACAGTGTTGATTTGGAATACAAAATCATATTTGGTTCTCTCTAAGCTCATATTTGAAAATAATTAAAATAAGGCAGGTACTCAAATCAAGCCTACATGGTTTCACTCTCCAACTTGCTGAATGGTTGAGAAAGTGACCAGATTTCCCCCAGACTGAGTCAGAATGTAGCCTGAATGATGACAGAGGCAGATTGCAGTTTCTGACACTGATAATTTATGTACAGTGGAATTAACCATATATAGGAAGTCTTCCCAGAATTAACCAGCTCTAAGACATGATTTCAAAGCGTAGCACTCTGTGAAGGAAATAAAAGTAACTCCCAAATCTTATGAAACAGCTGCTTATCTAATATGCAAGAGAAGAGATAATGTAATAAAATATGTAAATAACATGATATATTGTAAATCACAATGTATCTTGAGACATGAATCACATGATGTTACAATGAATGAAGAAGAACCTAGTGATTTGTGGGAAATAGCAATAAAGGAGACCTAAACAAATTTGAATAAAAGAAGAAAAAGAAGCCTGGTAGGTGTAACTCGAATAAATGTAGTGGCCCCATGTGTCTCAATATAAGCACAGCATCACACTCAAAGGAAGCACAAATCTGAGGTTAGAAACCTTGAAACATAATGTAGACCTTTAGTGTAGGTTTCCTGAAAGCAGGATTACTCAGGGATTTTGTATCATGCAGCACAAAGAAACGTCCCAGAAATCTTTTGGGGACATATTTTGTGTTCTTCAAGTTCCACATTTAAACAGCAGCTGTTAAAAATACTTCCCGCTTTCTCTCATTCTTGTTGAGCTCCCCTTTAATCTCCTCTTTCCTATTCACAGGCCACACTGCCCCAACTCTCAGCTGTTAAGTCACCATCAGATCTCCCTCTCTGCAACATGGGCAACTCTATGATGGATTAAAGACCCAGGAGCTCTGTGACCCCTGATCATTCCTCATTATTTGTGGAGCAAAGTTCATTAATCCCACAGGCAACCGCAGTTCTTCTCTTGTGAAAAATTTTTTAGAAAATTTCTGGTGAATATAATTATCGATCTCATTTACAGTCAATGTTTGCTCTCAGCCCCATGTTCTCCAGTTAATAGTTATTCTACAGTAGAATAGGGTTGTATCTCTAGACACTCTAACAGCCTAACAAAATTTACTGTGAGACACAGTGTCTTCAAGTTCTATTTCCCTGATAACCGCGTTCAGTACTTTATATGGATTAATTTAGGAGGTAGATAGCATTATTATGTGAGGCTCACATAAGGTCACATAAATAGTAAGCTAGGAAGCTGGGATCTGAATCAGGGTCTTTTTGACTTCAGGGCTCGTGTTCTTGATCACTCAGCGTATAACCTCACGTAGCGACAGAATATCATATTGTCATTCTGGATTTTAGATGCATCTCAAGTGATTTCAGTTAGTATAAATCAACTTCTTGTGCTTGCTTACTTGCAGTGATCTGATAAAATGAACTCTTCAAACTCCAAAGGTAAGGATTTGACCCTAGAGCATGGATAGATCCCTTCTTTATTCAGCCTTGAACCATCACGTCAATCACTACATTACAACTACGTTAGAATGGAGCACATAGAAACTCAAAAGTGCCCTCTCCTTTCCTTCTTATAAATTCATAAGAATGTTCCCATGCTTTAAACGGGTATTTTCCAAAGTGTGTAACACTGAATTTATGCAAAACACCGTTCCTTGGTTAATAATTTAGAGGCATACTGGGTTAAACAAAGTTAAACAAGCTTTCTCTTCTTCTATTTTAACTGCAGGACTTCTCAGAGCCTTTAATAAACTCCACGAGGGGCAGCACACAGCAGCTCTCTTCAACCTTGCTGTCTATATATCATTTGCATGCGAATTACAGTCTCCTCAAAAGTTTTGTCGGTGGGGGAAACAGGGCCTCGGGTGCTCGTGGGGTTAGTGTTACCAAAGAACCTTAGTCCCTTTTGGCCCCGAAGCCGCGCTGAGACTGGTGACGCTGCGGCCTCAAAGCCCGGCGTGTGGGCGCGCTGCTCCGGGACTACGTCGAAGCCTGCGGGGACGCAGCGGTGGCGAAGGCCCGACCCGTGTGGGTGGCCGTGTACGGGGGGCTGCTGGGCGGCGCGGTGGCCTTTGAGGAGGCGCTGCTCCATGCGACAGGGACCCTCCTGCTGCTGGTGCCCCGCCACGCGCAACAGCGACTTGGAGGCGTTTGTGCAACTGCTGCTCTGGCTGCGGGGCCGCGGCTGCCTGCACCACGTGAGCCCGGGCCTCTGCTCGCTGATGTACGAGGCGCCCTTCGACGCCCAGGCCAGCCTCTGCCAGGTCCGCTGCCGCTACCTGCAGCCCGGCTGGGTCGACTTCCTGGACCGGGTCCTGGATGTGGGCTTCGTGGGCCGCTGGTGGGTGCTGGGGGCCCGGATGCGCGACTGCGACATCAACAACGACGAGTTCCTGCACCTGCCGGCACATCTGTGCGCCGTCGGGCCCCACCAGCTGCACTCGGAGGCCAACGAGCGGCTCTTCGACGAGAAGTACAAGCCCGTGGTGCTCACCGACGATCAGGTGGACCAGGCGCTGTGGGAGGAGCAGGTCTTGCAGAAGGAGAAGGGCCAGCTCGCCCTGAGCCAGGCCGACCCGCTCGCCGGTGCCGTCGGAAGTCACGAGATGAAACCCAGACCAGACTGGGTCCCGATCGGGCTCTGAGCCCCAGCAGACTGTTGGCCCGGGATTGTACAGTTGGTGCAAGTGAGCCTCAAACGCCGAGTGACAGAAATAAATTATTTGCACTGCTCTCTCCCTGAGTTTTCACAAAATCGGGCACCTCCCTCTCACCTGTTGATTGTGAGCTGACGCTAATTCAGAGCCTCCTTGGTCTAGGAGTTGGGGAGAGCAGAGCGACATGCCGTGGCATGTTTAGCACTGCCAGTTAGTAAGGCGCTTTAGAAGGAAATAAGCCTTTGTTCACTGGGCTTCACCCTTCCCCTGACTGAGGTATCACAGTTGTTAAGTGACTCCCAAGCTCTCCTAAGAATTTTCAGATTTTAGTTTTAAAATTTGAACTGAAATGTTTATCCTCTATTCCATGAGTGACATTTTTTTTAAACTGATTTTTAAATTGTAGTCTCAGAGGAAACTGGAAAAATAACAGAGACATCCTGTGTACCCTTCCCCCAGCTTCCCCCAAATGGTAACGTTTTCTACAAGCAGTACCAAACACCAGGAGATTGACATTGGGGTGAGTAAACTTTTTGCTTTTACCATATGTGTATTGAGAGTGATGTTAAAGTGACCTGGAGGGATAAAGCATTTTCTGATCTGGAAATCAATATGGAATCATAGCTTCTGGTTATGTTACACCTCAGTAACCCTGAAAACACAGAATCCCCTGGAAAGGAATATGTTGCTGTACATAGCTGGGTTATAATTGTACTTTTAAAACTGATATTAGAGGAATGAGACTACCTATGTCACTGATGTGGCCCGTGGCTAGTTAATAAACCAGGAGATGAAACCAAAAAAATAAAAAATAAAAAAATAAAACAAACAAAGAAACTTAGTCCGCCATATTGCCAAAGGCAATATGTAAAGATCTATGTAAAGGTCTAAGGGTGAGAGAGACCACGGCTTATTTAGGAAACTGCAAATCATTGCCAATGGCTGTAGCATATATTAAGAGAGATGGAGCATCACTGTAGGAAATGAAGGAAGCTTTATTTTCCAGAAGGCACTAGAGAACAGGTGTGGCTCATGAAGGAACAATGGGGGTGGTAGGAGGATCCAAACATACTCGTGAAGAAATGTACAGCCCAAACTTTTGGGTCTCCCGGTGGATCTAGGCAATCGCCCCACCTTGAAGGAGGGGAGTCTGGGACAAGTCTTCCCTTGAGGGATGCTGCTATGAGAGACATCCACTTAAT